CCATACTAGTGTACAAAGGTATATACAAATTCAGTGGCCCATTCGGTGATAGCGTAAACAATCAATGATTTGCCGAACTTCTTGCCCAATACGATGACAAAATTGATATGATTGGATAAAACTATTTACCCCAGCAAGGAAACCCTTGGTTAGTTGATATCATTCGGGGAATTTTGTTATAGAATTTCAACCTTATTCAGAGGTACTTTCAACGTATGATACTTGTTATTTTTTTATAAATAGATATTTGTACCGTTGCTCGAAGCATTTCCAATACTTTAATAAAATCTATATTTCGGCATATCAATGATCACTGTTTGGAGTGGCCATCTTTACAATTTTATTACTTCAATTCCAATCATTTTACAGTTAATTCCCTTCTATCTAAATCTAACTAAAGAGCTTGGACTCAAGAAAACTACGTATCATTCAACATACGTCATAGTAATCTTTAAGATATTTCCAGTTGAATATACAGCGCATAGTATACGAACAGTTCTGTACAGTATATTATGTATGTTAATCAGTAACATTAAAAATACCTCTTAAGAATCCTTTAAAATTTGTGCAGTTGAATGCTACCAAGTATGCGTACAGTGCATTGAATTTGTTATTCAAGTGAAGTAACGTCCGAAATACGCAATAATAATCCTTCAAGATGTGTGCTGCTAAATATGCAGTAAGGGGAAGTTCCAAGTAGTTTTCAGAAATAGCATGAGCCAATCAAAATCGATATACCCCTTTTTTTTCACGATTTAGGAATAGACGTCAAGGACCTCTTTTTCTACTTTTGGTATAGTGAATTGCGTGAAAACTCGCAGAAAAAGAGGTAAAAATGTACGAAACTGTACTTGGAACCACTTTTTCATTTGATAAAAATACCTACTTGGAACAGGCCCTAAGGTTACATAGTATACGTTCAGTACTGTTCATTGTACTACCTTCATTTCCAATCGGAGGTAGAATACTTTAATCAATTGAAGTAATATTCAAAACAGGACTACTCTTCCATACAAAATCAATAGTGGGATTTGACGATACTGCAAAAGTAGTGCGCACTATGAATCACGGAGTAATTGGACGATTCACAGGGAGACTGCGCCCAAAGCGTTAGCGGTATACAATTTTTGTCTGTGCACAATACTTTAATCAAGTCTAACTAGCCGTCGAATGCGTCAAAATAATCAATACATACTTTAATCAAGTTCAACGTACCCGTCAAATTGCGTCATATTAAGCTATCTCAAGATATTCAATGCGCTATTTTGACCACAGTTTAGTTCGCAGTCTCTCTGCGTTGGGGTGAAGATTTCGGGCGATGTTCGCAGTCTCTCTGCGTTGGGGTGAAGATTTCGGGCGATGTTCGCAGTCTCCTCTGCGTTGGGGTAGAGATTTCGGGCGATCACGGCGATGATTTCGATGTTTTTGTCTGTGCACACATACTTTAATCAAGTCAAGGTAACCGTCGAATGCGTCAAAATAATCAATACATATTTTAATCAAGTTCAACGTAACCGTCAAAATGCGTCATATTAAGCTATCTCAAGATATTCAATGCACTATTTATGGCCACAGTTTAGATATCACAGTTCAAATCCAAGTCTGGGGGATGTAATCAACAATAGACTAATTTGACTGATATCCTGTATAGTACAGCTGTACTCTTCCTGGGTACATACAATAGTACTGTAACGTCCCTCATACCATAAGTTAATCATCACAAAAATCATTTTGATTGGCTAACATTTTGGGCGATCCTCATTTTTCTTTCGTCAGCCATTTGAGCAATTGACTGTGAGCACAGAGGGGTCAACCACCGCGTGCGCTGTTGCACCCCAAGCGCAGCACGATAATGTGATCTTCATACGCCTACCGAGGTACCCTAATACACATCACACGACTATGCTCATTCAACCATTCTAGACGAGCAAAGAACCCAAGGTCGGATCACGATGTTATGCCCCGTCGACCTTCAGTTAAGTGCAATGGTAATTTGTGCTTGTATTTATCGAATCATTGAACTACTGTGTAGTCCGAAACATGCCGTACAATGTAGTTTCATGAACCTTGCAACCTCGTTCCTCCAACAATATGACGTCGTAGCGCAATGGTAGCGCGCCTGCTTGCAGGGGGCCTAGGTTCGATTCCTAGCGACGCCGACGAATCGAAAACATTGCTATGCTTCCTTGTATTGTTGAATTTTGACGTGTGCTGGCCAGGTATCAATCACCCTTGAGAGTTATTTTGCATTTCAGAGGTCATACGTATGAAATATTTCAGTCACATTTATGGATTTTATGTATGGATTTTGATTGGCTAACATTTTGGGTGATCCACATTTTTCTTTCGTCAGCCATTTGAGCAATTGACTGTGAGCACACAGGGGTCAACCACCGCGTGCGCTGTTGCGGATGTTGGCGACTTTTGTAGCTGTGACTTTGCAGCTACGCCCAAGGGGTAGCAATGATCCATAGCTAGAATTCAGCGTGGCGACACCTCAAACGTAGAGCTCACTCAACGTGGTTGCTACTACCTCGCATCTATCTACGACCTGCCATATGCGCCCTCTTACTGTAACCTAGCGATTGCCAGTGTGAACAAGTTAAGCCCCACACTATTTATGAAATGCTTAGTGTCCCAAGCATGCCCGAGCTATGTGTTATGTGAGCAGTTGATTGAGTTGTCCAATGTGGTTGCATTTAAGTAGGGCATGGTACAGTATGGTATATGCGGGAACTTCAATTTTGAATGATATTTCCATATGAAGTAGTTATTCTACAAAATGGTCCAAGTAGAGAAGTTCGAGTTACACGTAAAATACGCGTCGTCGCCAAAACCAGATTTTGAATGACGAGTCGACTTGCTACATTTGGCTACCGACCCGTCTACAAAGCTCTGGTCAGCAATGGGCACATCAAACACTGCTGCACTATAGAGATACTTGAGGTTGGACCGCTTAAGTTCACCAGGGGCGTCGCGCGTGAGGGATTGGAGATCATGGAGTGGTCCTTCGTCCTCGGCTGATACCAGGAAAACATTGAGAACTTTGGATGCAGGGTCACGCCGTTCCGTAAACACGATGCGACCGGTGAGCATGGCGCGTGGAGGTTGGGGATCTCAGCTCAAATATTCGATCGCGGTATCGAGAGAGTCGATAACCGGCAGCTGATGACATTCAGGTGATTTCGCCATGAGCTCCAATATACTGGCACGGCGCTTTGGCTGCACAGGAGAAGATTCCACACCGGCCTCGATGGCCTTGCGCTTCTGAAGGGCCATTGCAAAATGCCATTCATCCTATATATGCGGCGAACATGAGTATCCTTTGAGAGACGGAAAGTTCATATGGTCCGATATACCGTGCCGAAAATTTCGATTGATAATAAAGAACAATAATCAGAACCATGTTTGGTCAAATAATCAGAACCATGTTTGGTCAAATAATCAGAACCATGTTTTGTCAAACTTGTTGAAGTTATGAATAAATCATACGGTCGAGCTGGATATTCTTCGTAAACCTTGGTGGCCAGTTTTTGTCGTTTGGCAACCTCGCTTTCCAGGACAGAGTCACTCGCGTTGATACGGCGCCTGAGCTCATTTACTTCAAATTGAAGGGGATGGACGAGGTTTCGCTTCGGATGCATGGTGATCTCGGTGGTCGCCGTGTTCTTGGCGTATTGGATCCACTTTTGACGCATAGATTCGAAGCCGTTGGGTGGGCTCGAACGCTTCATCCACTCGGACATGTTGCACATGTACGCACGCACGTGACGGTCGTCAGGGCCACATTGCATCGGCACATAGCACATCTTATACTTCTTTTTTCTACTATGACGCATACTACTATACACTCTGTAATCGGCGGGGAGTGCTCCTAGAACACGGCGCCATCCGAACCAGAACTGCCAGAAGTCACGAGATCCTTCGACTAAGTTCCCCATTTCGGAGAGCTTGGCAACAAGATCTTTCACACGGTTTTCATGAGAAGGATCCATTGGAGACATGGAGATCCAAACAGAAAGTAAGAAATTTGTTGCGTCGACTTTTGGCATAAAGCTGATCCCCCTTAAAATGCTTCGATCTTTGAACTTCAAGGATATAGGGTTTGCAATTTTTTCATTTGTTGTCTTGTAAAAATCCAGTGAAGTACCGCAAAAAGTAGTTACGTTATCCGGAATTATCGGCTTGGTCCAACTTTAGAATCACTTCCCGTTGTGCGGCAATTTGCGCGTCAGCCCCTCCCTGCACCTCAAACACTACTAGTTTTTCAACTGGTCGGTGGAAGCTCGTGTCTTCCACTAGCGACAAGTAGACTAGTATACGAGTGTTGTATTAAGTTACTAGCTTGTAATCGTGCTAGCAGTGAGATAAGTTGCTTTTAGAGCAATAATCCATCGCTAGTTGCCGTTACTTGCAAGGTGATAACTCACGCTTGAACTGTCATACATAAGTCGGGTCTTTGAGGTTTTTCCCTTTACCTGTGTTCCCCGTGTGTGTGGCTCCCGTGTGTGGCTCCGTGTGCGTGGCCTTCCGTCGACACCCGTTTTCCGTCGAGAGCCGTAATCGCCGATTCTCGTACGTATTAAGTTTTAGAGGTTTTTTCTATCTTCCACCCAAATCGAACTCCGGAGGTATTTTGTATGATATGATTAAACAGGTTTTATAACACGAGTACTCCGTGTGATCATATTATAGAGACATTAATTGTCAATATTAGGAAGTATGGAACCAACTAAACCGCCCGATGAACAGAGGCGAAAAATAACCCAATCCAACTCGATCTAAGTAATGTGGAAAAATATGATTACACTTAATACTATTAGTTTTTATCAAGGACTTGGTATTAGGCGTCAACTACACCACCAGCCGACGTTCAAGTGACTGGATCGACGAGAGAGATTCTTACATCAGCATGTCAATCCAAGTTCATCCAAGTAATACTAACCATTGCCAAATATCATTATACCTAGTAATAGTTGACAAGAAATTTATCATAGGCTTCAACTGTACCTGCCGCCGGCATGCCTTTAACTGTGCTGATGCCAGCGCTGATTACAACAACACTCAATGCACCACTGAGTCCTAACGCAGAGAAAGTGCGGCTCCGCAAAGACAAGAATCGGACTCGCATGGCTGCTCGGCGAGCATATCAACAGTCAACTGAATCTCCGGAAGATCGTCGAAAGCGATTAAGCATCGAAAGTGCTAACACAAGCGGCGCTTCGAAGCAAGGAGACGCCAGTGCAGCATGCTATACGCCTGGAGAAGCTGAAGGCAAAGCGTGGAGAGGAATCGATCGAGGAACAT